AAATATGTTTTGATAAGATCCAGTTCAGGTTAATTTTATTTTTATGCAAAATTTTCTTGTTTGATAAAATATAATGATGCAAATCTAGTTTAACTCTTTATTTACCTTGAATTTAATGCATACCTTTATAGAATGTTTTTTCAATGCTACATTATGGTTAATTTTAGAACTACCTTCAAAATTTCAATCAAATCAGTTTGAATTTTAAAATTTTGCAATTCCTAAAGTTTAAAAATTCAAAAATGAACTTTTTATGGCGACAAAAACTAAAATGTGTGCAAAATACTTAAGCCGCAACATTTAAATTCATTTTTAAGCTTCACACTTATCAATAATCATTAATTTCCAAGTAAAAGCAGTCAACGTTCTCGTTAAATCATAAATTATCATGTTTAACTTCTTAGAAATTTTACAAAAAACAAACAAATTATGCTTTTAAGTCAGTAATAAAATTTAAAAGGCTCATTTGACATCTGTTTAATATGATACTAAAAAACACATTTACGGCATATCGGTGTGTATTTGACAAGTAATTGGACACCGTAATAATAAATCCCATAGCATTTGAATCTATAATGATGAGCTTTATTTGAGTAATGTATCGTAAAAAATGCTTGAATTTCGTAAAGTCATGAATATTCATGAGAAGTCATTAAAAATTTTAAATGATCCGTGACAAGCGTTAACCTTTCGTCCTTTAGTAAATGTATCGTCTTTATGTGATATTTCGGTTAATAATTCGACCATCGATTAATTTATCCTTCAAAGGTATTTTTAAGCCAACAATTCTCACGTCTATATTCAAAATACCTCGCACATGTAGCATAAGCAGTCAGTGCAGCATTACGAAAATAACAAATTTGTCTTGAAATGAACATTGACACAACGTAAAATTTATATTTTTAATAATTTTATTTTTATTTCACGCTTTTCATTTCGTTCAGTCTTTTGTGGTTTTTTAATCATATACAGCAGTCAGTGCAGCAAACAATATTCTGGATTTAAATAAAAGATAAACTTTTGTTGCTTTTTAATGATGATGAATACGTAGAAGAATTAGCAAGAACTGAACAACAATGTTGGTATAATTCTCTTTCTGCATATCAAGATGCTGATTATTGCCTCTACGTTCTTTGTCTCACGGGCAAATTCGAAATTGGCATGCCAAATACGATTATAATGTATGTGATGAATCAAATTTCTAATCATTTGTCTTTTAAAAATCAATTTTTTATTCGTTGGACTTAAACTTGAAATTAAATTAAAGGCAAGAGCATGTCGGCATGAAGTCTCATGGTAAAATGTCTATTATGTAGATGTGTATCATGTGTGTACAGTAAGCACAACATAGTCAGAGAAAAGAAAATAGAGAGTGTGCGACTCTTTAATAGATCTTATTATATCATAAATGTATCAATTACTCAAACAGATGATCTAATGAATATTTATTGAAAAATTAAATCATTTACACGTAAGTGCCGAGTAATGCTGTTAATGCGTCGTTGCTATTATTTTTATTTCCCGATACACTGTGTAATAATCTCTCAAAGATGATGAAACGCTTTGGTTTTTAAAGCTTTTGTTTTTCATATTTGAAATTTACATAACCTCTACAGTTTGATTCTTATCCTTCAACAAAAAGCACCAGACACCGACAATTGACCATAACATTACTAACAGTAATTTGCGGACAGCTGTGACAAATCGCAATAAAACTTTTTTTTAATGTCATGTTATCATCAAATTGTTTTACTCATAACTGTTGTTCCTATATGTCACTTAAAACAGTATTTCCCTTCTCATTAGCTTCATTCACAAGGTCAAATAATATCTGTTGTTAGAAATATATCAAACATGAACCTTATATTCTGTTTCGAGAACATACGTGGTTAAAATAATAAGAATATTCACGATTTTCTGTTGGTATTTCCTAAGTAAACATGACGATTTTAGAAGCAGATATGTTTGAAGTCCATGAGCTCATAAGATTAATTATTATACAACCTGCAATGAGGATTACTTTAATTATTATATGTAAAGCGATTTTAAGAGAACAAAGCGAATTAATACAAAAAAATATTTTAAATTCTCGACGAGATTTTTTATGGATCGATGTCAAGATTTGGCATATTTTTGTGCTGAAGTTAATGACTGGAACTCTGTAAACATATTACGAATTAAAATTGATGGCGAAAAGTAGCGAGTTGAAAAAAATTTTCCGCAATGTAATTTTCACCTAGTTTCAAGGTTTTGGATGTTAAATGGAAAGCTCACGAATTTAACCTTTATTGAATTGTTGAAAGTTAAGAACTTGAGAGGTAAACGATGCATTCAATTGATGGAATTTATTTTAAAAAAGTTAAATTTAACGGAATAAAATTCAACTTTATGTTTTTTGTCTTCTCAGAAAAATTGAAAATCATAGAATTTTATCATCTTGGAATCAAACAAATTTGGTCTTCTCAAATAACATTAATCAATAAAAATTGGATCATCGCAGAACAATTTTACTACCTCAGAAGTTCATATTTTCAGTAAATGAACATTTCAGTCAAAAAACTCGATTATCTCAGAATGATTTTATCCTTTCAGAAATAAATGGACATAATTTCCGAATTGATCGTCAAAATCCCAAAAGTCACAGAAACCTCAAAGGGCCGTTCACTTATGACGTCCAGGGGGGGGGGGGGGGGGTCAGCAAGAAAAGAACAATAGAAATTCCAGGATATCCATTTTTCTTTTTTGAAAAATGACCGTTAATTTCGGACGTCACAAGTGAACGACCCCCAAAATAATTTATCAGTGACATTTCCAGCGTAACTTACTCATTAGCTGAGTCACGTCAATAAAGTTCAACATTCGAATTCCAAAAAGAACTTTCACCGAAAATTCAACAAAACAAAAAATTGACAGAAAAATTATTCAAATTCAAAAAACAATCGTCGATTGTTGTAAAATGATAAGGAAATAATAATTACAACTAAATTCATAATGAGATAAGAATGCAAGTTTTGGGCGTTAAAAATTGTAAAATTAATTTGAAGTGAAAATTTCCGCGAAACAAGAAATCGTTAAATAAATATAATAACTTATGCAAACTATAGTTTTAAGAGATGACACCACATAATAAAAAGTGAAATTTCTCTTACAATCATCGCGATGTCTCTAAAAGTCAAGAGTTAAGACGACTAAGAAAGACAGAAAATAACAGGGAAGTGAAGATGTTTATGCAGTCGTAGCGGGTGAAATTGCTAATCATCATTATTTAATTTCATAACATACTTAATAAGTCTCACTAACTGTGCATAGCTTTAACATGAAGGTTAAACATAATTATCGGTTCGTCGTCTAGTGGAAAGTTATTTTTTATTTTTTGTGGAATGCGCTAAACAATTGCGTGTCATAAACGACACACATAATTCTGCGCAATATGAGATTGAGCTTCAGCAATAATAATATTTTGTTGTGGCTTGTTTCATACGCATACGATCACGAATTACTTAAATGTCTAATGTGTTAATATTTTCGGTAGTGTTGCGCATTTCATAAGTCCAAAAAAATGCCTGTGATTCGCATACTGAGTAGGATAATTCAAAGAAACGGCAAGAAATATGCAGTGAAGAAGCAGAAAAAAATTGTTTTATTGCCCATGACGGTTCAATTGACAGTTCTGACTGTATTCAATATCTTGATAAATTAATCTGCAATATTTCTCTTTTATTGTCTGCAATTTTTCTTTCTTAATCTTACTGCATTTTCTCTTCCAAATAAATTTTCTAATTTATGCATAAAATGCATGCATATCCTCATTAAATCAAACACCTGATAAATATCTTTGAAATCAATTAATAACCTCAAAAATCGACAAATCAAATGGGGCGAAATGTAAATTGAAGTTGAATGGTGATAACCAGATTTGATTCCTCCAATCAATAAATGGACATAATTATGCGTGTCAGTCACTGAACCGTTAAAACTGTTGCTAACCATAATTTCGTTTTGTATTTTTTTCATTTCATTTTATCTCTTTTTCATGGAAATACGATAAGTATGCTTAAAAATGTCGCTGAACTGAGCATGTTTTGGGATTGGATTGATAAGTGAATGTAATAACGTATTTTGATATTTGAATGAAATTAAGATTGGGTAAATTTCTTATCGATCTACTTAAAAGAAAGAGACTTTTTCGAGCACGTGAAATTTCACATCCAAAAGTTTAAAAATGAAATCACTTAAAAATGATAACTGAAAACTTTCTAAATTCAGGATTTAATTTGATCCTAATTTCACACAAAACAGACTTAAGAATTGCGGAAATAAAGTCAATAAAAACGCAATAAAGTAAGCCTAACAGTTTGACAAGAATATTTCAATTAAATAGATTTTAATATGGCTTATCTGAAAAGCACCAGCCGTGTTGAGTGGTTTACATACTCTCAAAAATAATTGAGCATTTGCACAGTCAGTCAGTCAGAAATGAAAAGTAAAAACTTGAATTTCATTCATTCCACAGGCGATGACTATTACCCACTCATATGTCTCCTCATCGAGAAATTTCCATAGAAATGAGCTTGTATATTTCATTAACATTACTTTAGCAGCTTGTTCCATTCACAATATTATGAGTGTTAGGCTTTGAGAGGACATAATGACATTATGATGTTAATTGATGATTGAAAAAGAGTAAGAAACTGGAGGAAAGAGAGGAAAGCAAACAAAAGGAGGCAGAAAAGAGAAATTTACCGGAACACGAGGAACTAATGAATAGACGACACACACATCTGTGCATTGGTAGACAAATCTTTTTTGTGATATCGATTCATTTAATTTACATATTGTTTTAATATAAACAGAGATTCTCTTCACAAAAATGCACTTAAATCACCACATTAGATACACTCAAGTGATATCATCATCAGCTATTAACACATCGATGAGAAAAGTTTACAATGCGCGAGACGCAAAGCAGCGGAAAATGTTAGAAAAAAAATGTCACCCACCTTTTTGATGCTTTAAGAAATATTTTTTGTAAATCCACCATGCTAGCACTCCCAACAAGGCAATAACAGCGATTGTGCCAAATATGGCACCAACTATACTACCACCGCCGTAGCACTCCATAGGTCTCTTATGTTTCTCTTAATCTCTCCTTTATCGTCTTTGTGCTGCTTCAATTTTGTTTCACTTCTTTTATTTATTTTATTTTTTTTTTTCGAAAGAATTTCTTTCCTACTATTTTATTGCTGATATTTTTATCTCTATGCTGTAAATGACTAAAATTTATACATTTATGAATGTGCCTTGCAGCTATTTTTCAGTTGAAACAGCATCCAACAACAACCAGCAGCAGCAGCAAGCAAGCAATATATTGTATGGATCTGTAAAAAGAAGTTCAAAAGAAAGGAAAAATTTAGATAGTGTGAGAAGTAAGAGCAAGCAAGTCAAGAAATGTATGTTAAGTTGACTAAATGTGCTTTAGGAAGCACATAAAGAAATCATTGCGAATTTATTTTGACAATCACTTGACACTTCATCGTAATAGAAAACTGCGACTTTAATGTCCAATTTAGAGAAATTTTCAGTCTTTCCATTTTTTTTATACACTAATTAAGTACAGTACAATATGCGACTTTATAAAAAAATATTTTATTAATGAATCAAATTAATAGTTGCGTAACGTATTGGATAGACTTTATCTATGGTGTTTTTTTCTTTATAAATTCGCAAATTAGTAATAAGCTTAAATTACAGCGTGTTGTTTGGCTGTAAAACCTTTATGGCAAAACACATTTTGTGCAATAAAAACAAAGTTTCTAATCTCATTTTGTGAATTGAATGTGAATAATTTTTATTGAAGTGCATAAATTAATCAAATTTGAAATTTCATCAGCTTGACTTTTATTGTTGATGAAATTTATTTATCATGTCATAACGTTCATTTTAAATTCAGAAACAGTGTTGCAAATGTAGATGTCTACACTAGATGAAGAATGTAGATTCTTCAATAGTTTTTGTCTAGCTAAGAAACTTTCTTCATAAAGATCGATTCTATATGAAGATAGAAAATCTAATCTACACAAAGATTATTTCTACATAAAGATTCGATGTAGATGTCTACAATTCTACATTTTTTCCAGGTCTACATCAGAGAAGAATGTAGAATTGTAGACATCTACATCGAATCTTTATGTAGACAGAATCTTTATGTAGAAATAATCTTTGAGTAGATTAGATTTTCTATCTTCATGTAGAATCGATCTTTATGAAGAAATTTCTGTCTCAGAATTTATCTGATCTAGACAAATGGCTAGAATGCAACACTGTTCAGAAATATAAATCATGAGAACCCTAAAAATGTCATTGATTCTAAGGTTCTGGAATTTAAATTATTCATTACCGTTAGCTTTCAATTAATCAACTAAGTTAGTATACTTGACCTATTAGTGTCGAATTGTGAATTATTTATTCGTTAAGTAAATGAATATGAATTATAGATCATGAGATGTACTTGAATAATTTATTATGCTTTCAATCCTGTTTTATTAATCATGCAAATATTTTTATTATACATGATGTTAGGATCCAATTTTGTAGCTTTAATATAATTAATTCAACATGGCAAGAGAATTACAAAGGAATCTAATTTATTCTAAGTAATTGCCACTTCTATAGTCAGTTTTTTTTTTCTTGTTGACTCTTCTTAACCTTCTTGATGTTTAACCGTGAATACAATGTACTGATTGTTATAATCCATAAAATAAACAAAAACTTATCTTGTACGTAAATATGAGTATTAAGATGTTGGAAATGCAGTTTATGAATCGAAAAGATTAGAAAGTTTTTAGACTTAATTTATGTATCGGAATTAAATTGTCGTAAAACCTACAGCAAGCTATAGGACAAATTATGCATAAAAATTCGAAATAAATGACTAAGTCAAGCACACGCAGCACGAAGAATTCTTCTCATCGGATTTCTTTCATTTCTCACACGATCTATCGTCTATAAAAAAAATATTTCTCGGGAACAAGCCAGCATATTTTTCTCGTTACATCATAAGCATTTAGCGCGCCAAAGATCAATTTCCTAACAAAACAAGATTTCGTGAAATATCACATATATGAGATGCAACTTTTGTTTCTAGTTTTTTTTCCTTCTCTTCCTCAACTCTTTCATCTTGCCTCGGTAGCTTAATATTTCTAAATGGTAATTTAAATTTTTGTGCAAATTTAACGGCACTGCTGCTTTGTTTGCTCAAAATTGTCTTGATGACTGGGTGGATCTATCAGATCTTATTGGGATTGTGAGGTCGCGAGAACGTCAGATTTTAACAGTAATGTATTCTACTTCTAATGCTTTGTTGACAAATATATTGATGATAATTGTTTGTTTATTAAAGCAGCGGATTTACGCCCACATTTTTGTTGCTTAAATTTGTGTTATGTTACTTCTTGTAAGTTTAAGCTGAATCTCAGAACGGATTTACTGAATTCTTTTTTGAATTCCATTGGAATTTTCGCATCATTGGAAAAGATGCGAAATTTTTGATTATAGTTTTGAGTATTTACTGATCATATAAGTAATTAAGAAGCTTTCAGGAATTTTTATTACCTTTTCGCGTCAATTAACAACAAAGATGCAGAAAATTTAAATTACAAAAAACCGTTAAATTTACAATTATAAGTTCACGTAAATCGATTTCCGAGATAAAGTCAGAGATAGCAAAAGACATTAAAGTATTTCATCGTTAATGACTTTTTAACTACTGCTCATTGTTATTGAGAAAAATCATTAAGTACTTTTCACTTTTATGTACTTTTCATTAAATATCTCACATATGATCGAGGGAATAAAATAATGGGTAAGTAAGAAACCTTATGAAAAATTTCCATTTTACCTCATTTATCGGCCACTTATACTTTTATTATTGATTATGCTCAATATTATATATTTTTTTATTATTGGAATATTGTGTCTGCTGGAGTTTTAAATGTTTTTCCGGCAAAATAAGTATGAAAATAAGGCAAAAAAATTAAGGTATGTACATATGTACAGTTTGTAGTTTGTGGAGAAAGTAAATTAAATATAAAATCATAAATAACGAAAAAATATAAAGAAAATTTCTTTCTTTTCCCATTTTTCGAGGTTCGTTGAAGCAAATTAATTAGAAAAGAGCTAGCTTAAGTTTTTTCGAAGCTAGAGGCAAGCAAATATTTAATATCAGGTTGTAATTAGATAAGAGAAGAAAAATGAGAAAAGAAACATTTGAACTGCAGTCTCTAGGCTGTTGTCTGTATTTAGTGCATAACTGATACTATCACGACAGCTTGTGGTGTTGATAGACTCACTTAGTAAAATTACAGACGATTAAACATAAATAATTAATCATACGACCCCGTGTAATATGAAATATCCAAAAATGTAAGCTAGCCAAATGATAAATTTATTCTACAAAGTTTTTATTTTTTAATTATTTCCACTCCAATTTTCATCTCGTGCTAAGCGTTTGCCCATTTTTTACTCTTTGCCGAAATACACGCGCCAAGATGAGAAGAAAAAAAAATTAAATGTTTTATGAGGCTCTATTTGCATTTTAATTCCAAAATAAGTTTGCGTCTTTTCTTGTGAACATTTTGTTTTAATTAATTAAAGCCATATCTTTTTAATTAACTTTTTTTGAATGTTATTCAATTCAATCATACAAAAAACAATCATTATTTGTAATGTTCAGGGGTTTAAAGTTGCGGATTATTGTGTAACTTGGTGGGATTTTATATTTTTAACGGTTTTAAGCTGAATCAGATTTTTTTAAGAACCATACAATTTCAAAATAATTAACTGATGAAATGATTTGATTCGAATGGATATAGTTTGAATTTTTCAGAACCCCACAAATTATTTTCTGAAACAACACAATTCCAAACAAGTCGACTGCTCAAGGGGTTTGGTTTAATTTAAATTGAAACCCCTACAATTGTTCTTCTTCTTCTTAATTATCTTTATTAAGGTCCTTTTTAATAAATTTTAAGACCATTTTCAATTCTAAATATGTTTTACATGTTTTTTAATTTTATAAATACGAACTGCAATACAGGATATTATGTGTTTTGGTGTTAGATTTTGTCTTAAATATTAATTTCTTTTAAAAAGTTTAAAATTTTGTCTGTTTCATCTTTTTCGTCTACTTCAAGTGTTTTGTAACTGATATTAAATTTTGAAATAGCTGTTTGATTGTTTGTGCATTCAAATATATGTCTGACAGTAAGTGGGATGGTGCATGTGCATATTGGGGGAGAAGTTTTTTCAATAAGATGCCCTACAATTGTTGCCTTTAGTAAAAGCTTACAAATTTTGGTTTGAAGTTGAAGTTTTGATTAATTTTAATAATTATTCCAGAATCCACAAGTATCCCAAACAAAACAAAACACTCGAAAAACCATCGAAAAATCCATAACAATTGAATTGTTTAAAGCACAGACAAATTAACATCATTTCAGTTAATTACTTCCAACCACCAATTCTTTATTTTCGTCTCTCATTCTCTCCTCATCATCAATATTGAGATCTTTTTTTCAAATTTTATTTTGAATCCTTTTTTTTATTGTTCTTCTTTATTTTTTATGAGATTCAAAGAAACATTTTAAAGTCATTCTTTTTTTGAACATGCTACACGGCTACACGTCAAATTTCGTAGATTGATGAAGCATCAAATGATTGTTATTTTCTTTCTTCATTCATGTTAAAAGTACATAATGTTATTAATGGATATCCAGAGAAGAATTCCTGTATTGTATCTCCTCTTTTATATACTTATATGAATCTTTTAATTTAAAAAACGAGCCCCATTCTAAACCCGTTTTATGTAAGAAAATTTCTTTTACAACAACAAAATAATAATAATAATCAGTTCCTTCAATCGTCACAGGAATTTACACATGCAAGAATTTAAACGTTATGTACCTTGATTCTTTTCGGTGTTCCTTTCTCACACTTCTTATGTGAAACTTATTTTTTTTGTTAAAGAAATTCACGAAACATAAATGACCATTAAATGTGTGTAATTTATTCAAGGAAAAGTGTTATCAACATTCTTTTTATTTTCTGTTGCGTTTATTAAACAATCTCTTTCTGTTGATATTTTTTCACAAATATATAATCATGGAATCTTTTCTTTTTTGATATACACTGACTTGACTGTCTCTTTCTCTGATTCTAAAATATACACTTGCTTGTTAAAATTATCCAAAAAACAAAGCGACTCTTCACTCAATCAATGCTGCTTTATTCGCAAGCAATTTACCTCCAACGAACGTCCGATGTGGATAACGATTGGAATGAAACTAAACTCAACTCAAACTCAACATATGAAAGCAGAGACTGAGAAAAATATTTATTATTATTTTGTGTTCAACTGATACCTATGAGCGGCACAAGAATGTATTTTACGTTTATCTGTGATTGTGTTTGAAACCTGTTGATTCAAAATTTACCTGTTGTTGATGTTTTTCAGGGTTGTTGCGTGACTAAGTTTTTTGTACGTTGGCGGTTGACGAGCTTTGAGCTTTATTAATTTTTTTTACATAAATTTTAATGAAAAATAAAAACATTGCACCTGACCTTTGGATCCTTCAAAATAAGCAACTACATGAACTTTAAAGAAATCGTTGAGACTCAAAAAAAATGTTGAATTGATGCTTCATCATCCACAGAAGTAATCAAAAAAGGAAAGTGATTTAAAGCTGTAAATTACATTTGATATGAACTAATTGCTCAATTTTCCAGTACATTAAACAGGATTACTTGAAGTATATTTTAGCTATTTGAAATATTTTTGAAGGTTTTATTCAGTCAGTCTTGTTCCTATCTATTAATTTAGGTGTGCTCTATTAATGTACTTAATTGTTTTAGCAGATGAAGCCTTTCATTTCAGACAAGTGCGTCTTTAAATGTGTTATGTCTGGTGTAAATGAGTTTCACAATCCTCACTTTTTATTCTGATCAGTACCTTTTATCGCAAGCACTTACAGTGATCATCTGAAAATCAATGACATTATTAATTGACTTAATTTCGCCGACATAATCTTGAAAAACCGTTTCATATCCATTTGATAGATAATTTATAGCATATAATAATATATTTATTTTTTTGATTTAACGTGTGTCGTAGACGAGTACGTAAAACAACATAATACACGTTCATTCAGTCTATGCATTTAACTTTTCTTATAATAAATATCCCAAAGAGAGACACTTCCGTCAATTGATCCAATAGCTGATAAGTTCGATTTAAAATTATCTATTTGTGTATTAGAAAATGCAATATCTGATATTTCACTGCGATGGTTCCTTAAAGTTGCCAATTTTCTCAATGACTTCCATGAAACTATGTCAACAACACCATCGCACGATCCAACAAATAGACATTTTTTATCAGAACGAATTTTTAAGGAGCTTACACCAGCAACTTTTCTGCCTTCATTGTGTTGAAGTTCAATGTTCTCAGCATCTCTTTGCTGTAATTCTAAATTCATTCGATTAATCCCAAAAACATGAATTGTGTGAATGGTTGGCGACGATAAAACTCCACGATTTGTACTCGAATCATAATCAACATTACAAACAGGAAAATCATATTTTATATTATGAACTAATTTAAATTCTTTTAGATCCCATAACACCAAGTGCCCAGATTCATAGCCAGCAAGTAAATATGACGATTCAGTCGAAAAATTCAGTTCCCTCATACACATAATTTGACCCGTTTCCTCAGCAGTGAAGGATAGTTTATGAATAGGAACAGTGGAGATGTTTTGAACATCATAAACATTAATATCAGACGAATCATTTGGAGTAAGGAGTATATCCTTATCGCCTCTAATTCTAATTGATCGTGCAAATCCAGTATGATTTGTTTGAATTTCAGTATTTATCACATATCCATTTTTTTCTAAGTCATAAACTTTAACGGTTCCAGCTCGATCTTGGCAAATCAGACTTTCGGTATTTGATGAAATAAAAACGATTGGACTTGAGCTTGCCTTCAGTTCATAATTCGATCGCAGTGACTGAATAAATTAAAATAATTAATTTTTATAGAAACTTCCGAATAAAATGTCATCAAAACTTACAGATAAACAAAATATCTTGATTTTGCCACTTGCACATCCGGTCAATAGCTGCTGGTTGAGGAAATCTAGGGAATGTACTGGATCCTGCACTTTTAAGTGGTAGGAAGGGTCTGGTTGGAGCATATTTACTATTAAAATTAAATAAAACTTCTAAATTATGTTGCAAAAAAATAACAAACAGGGTAAAAAATATTGATTCCTCCTGCACATTTATGTTGCTATTGCGTTTTTAGCGAACTAAGGGATATGATTATTGATTGAAGTAGAAATTAAAGGATAAACGGGATCATTGTTGACATCCAGTGAAGCAAATGTAAACAAACAGTAATTGGCTTCAAATTGAAATAATTAAGTGAATATAATGAAAACGGATGTCAAATGCTTTAGAAGCTAAATGTTAATTAAAGTTCCTTCATTTGAGCTTATTAATCAAAATTCTTCAAGAAAAAACAATTTCAACAAAAACAGCATTTTTTGGTACTTATTGATTAGATATTGATATAAAGCATATGAGGAACCGAAACCAATAAGATTAGTATAGCTTAATTACCTGGCTTCATGACTGAATTTTGTATATTTCACTGTATATAAAAGAATTAAAATTTTCACAAAAAATCACTTTTACAAAGGGTGTTCAAGACTATATACCTATTTTATATAAACAATTTTATACACCTTAGAAGCGACAGTTATTTTACAAAATTTAAATCAACAATACACAATTCAAATCAAAAGAGTCTGTTAAATTTTTAAAACCTTAAATCCATCTTAAATTCATTTGTTTTTGTCGTGTTCTGTCGGTCTGCTACATTCGTTAAGTTTCCGTGAAAAAAGTTTAACGAAAATCACATAAAAATAGTAAACAAACATTCTTTAAAACCAAATCTCAAATGAAAATGAATATTTTTAACGCTATCGGACCCAATTTATTGGGATATCTGGTAATAACAGAGGATGGTGCAGTTTTAGCAAGCAGTGGTGAATTAGAGAACGACGAGAAAACTAGTGGAGTCTTGTATAAATTGATAAATCTAGCTCCAAGGTTTGTTATCATAAATTCCTCATTATTATTTACTTTAATTGACAATAATTTTTTCACTTCCAGTCTCGATCCTTCATTATTCTCAAAGAACTCCGTGCAACGAATAACAATTGCCTATGAAGAATTCAGCTATGTCGTGTGCTTATCAAATCGAAAGTTCTATATTGCCAAGAAAAAATTATGAGCAGCATAGCATCTGATTGATAAGCCTGATTACTAAGTTTAAGGAACTCATCATTGTCTTTTATATAAGAGATTTACTTTGTTTTATTGTGTATAATCAAAATTATCTGAAAACTTTATGCTCTATGAATAAAAACTAATTTATGGATTATTGAATTAATAAACTATATTTGCAAGCAAAGCTGTTTATTGTTATTCCTTGATGGCATTTTGGGAGATATTGGTGATCCAGAAGAACAAAAGAATTAGTCTTGGATTTAATTTTAAATCTAAGGTTTAAATATTTGTATTGATGTCTGTAAGTTACTTTAAACATGCTGTCAAAAAAGAGAATGAAACAGCAGATTTTTATGCATGATTTTTCGCTAACTTACATTTATTTTTAAATATTTACCTTTAGATCAATACACAAATTTGATAATTTACAACACTTATAATAAATTAGATTACTGTCCATCCGTTGTTCTCATAAATTTATGATCCATACAAGCTAATTTTTTATAAAACTTTAAATTTGATGATAAATGACAAGAGAAAGGTTCTTTTGCATTAAGACTTTAAGATGCATATGTTTAATAAAAATGAAATCTCTTTTTTAGTTTTTAAAATTATTAATATTTAAAATATTGTCGTCTAATATGAAAAGAAATAGATAATAAAATCACAGAAGGAACATCTACTTTGCGTTCATAAAGAAAGTGATAAAAATTGCAAATGATATAAGTTTTCTTTTTTAAAATTTCTAATTTGAGTTCCAAATTCAATTTAAATTCCGAGTTTTTCTATGAATGTTAACAAAGGTCATGCTTAGTTCCAACAAATTTAAATTTTAAGAAGGTTTTGGTGTTTGGGATTAGTTTAAAAATTAATCCAAAATTCAAATTTAAGTGTAAATTTAATCGAATTTGGATTAAAATTAATCTTTCGGATTAAATGTTAATCGAACCTTTATATCAGCGATAACTATTAACGAATACAGGAAATGGGTAGCTAATGAAGTAGAAATTGTGACTGCCTTTTGCATCAATATGCTTCTATTTCTTTCATAAAGTAAGCAAGCAGATTTGGCTTTACTTGGGTCCTTAGTGACTACTTGTAAGCAAAAAACATTGAATTTGGTCCTCTTTTAAAATTCTGATAAGATTATTAATCATTATTTTGATATATGAATGAAACTTTTCTTCTTTTCTCTTTTGTTTTTGTAGCTCCTCTCTGATTCAGATCATTCCACAAACATGCTTGATTGATGAATAAATATTTTTAACTGATTGATGTGTCGTAGCCAGGAATCAAGGAAAAGAAACAAGTGAACAACATATAAATAAATTTATATAAATTTGTACACTTTTCTTGCTTTTCTTTTCATCTCCTGAACGTAGAAGTTGTGAAAGTAGCATCACATTCCATATATAATAAGTAGAAACTTTCTTTAGGTACAAAGCTATTTACAGTGTTTTATTATCGTCAAATGCATCGCCTCGCGAGCACACAATGTCTGCAAACGGTCGCTCCTGATCGATGTCTAGCATTTGAAATTTCTTTAATACGAGTAGTGAGTAGAATTTTTGTGCAGCCTGCAAAACAAATTGTAATTAGTAACGGGTTTTGAAAATTCAAAAAATAACAGAATGAACTGAACTGAGATGAATAAGGAACTTTACTGAACAGAAAATAAAAAATAACTTACTTGTTTCTTCGTGTTCCTGTATGTCATATCCGATAAAAAGATTTTATCTTGCTTCTGAAGCTTCGTTCTAATGTTAACGAATAATTGTGCAGCACGTTTGTTCAATACACGTTCCTCGAATTGTTCTATTGATTCGTCCACCATCTGTTCATCTCCAGTTTGTCCAACTGATGCTGGATAATCATAATCAGTCCAATCATTTGCTATTCTTTCAGATATCCCACCCGAAGGTGAGGCTTGTGCATCATATCCCATATTAGCAAAATGTTGATCCATTCCATTTGTACCGTCAAGAATTGAACTGACTGTCTCGGCATTTAAGTTTGGTATTGTGTCCAAATTATTAAGTGCTGGATCGCTCAACATAGGACTATTTTCATCGAGTCCGTGCGTTAAATTTCCAGGTGTCATTGGAATGACTGGAATATGAGGTGTAGGCGGACTTGTCATTTCAGGAATACTCATCATTGATTGTCTTGGACTTGCTATTGATGGTGGTGGGGGCATTAATTCATTTACAAATGATTGACTTGTATCCAATCCGAGATCACCCTTTAATTCAATTGGTGCTGGAGTTTGAGGAGGTAAGTCAGCAATATCTCTTAGCGGTTCGGGTAGTGACAAATCACTAATATCCGTTTCGTCTGGATTCTTTCGTTTCCGTCCTCTCTTTGATGGCGATTCTGAAACTGGCTCAAGGATATGTGTATCTAATGCAAGAATATCAGCAGGTCCCAAACTTGAGAAATCTTCAATAATACCGGTCGTAAATACAAGATTCATTTGATAGATTTTCGATAATGCTCGTGCAGGAAGTAGTCGGGAAGGAAGTGCAAAGAGTTTTTCAACACCACCCGTTTCTTTCCAGTTCATAAGACGTTTTGTAGGAGGTGCCAAATCTAGCGATGTAATTATATCTGCTGTATTTGCTAATTGTGCCTTCATCTCCTCCCCAGATATATTCTTAACTTCATCAATAATCAATTTTCGCTTACGTTTTGCCTTTGTGACTCCTTTTAATGCCGATGCATCGATTGGTGCCAATGCAAATGATTCTTCCTCTTGTACCATATTTTTCTCTGCTTCATCAATATCGTTTATTAGATCCTTACTTGTTCCTGGCTGTTGAGTTATATCATTCAAAAAACTCGGTGGTCCATCAGTACTAAATGGATTCATCGTTAAAGGTGCTCCAATTGTAGATGGTGGTCTTGAACTCGTACTTGATAAAGCAGGAGATGCACCACCATCAAAATGTCCTCCATCATCCTCAGAATCATCGTCCGTTCTTGATGTCATATTTCCTTGATTTATTGGTGCTGATGTTTCATCTAAAGTAGTTGGTGGATCGGCAAAAATGTCTCCTTCAAATAAACCTCCAGACTCGCCAAAATCATCTCCAAAGTCGTCATCTAATGGATGTGTCAGCATTGTGCGTGAGTCTTCCTTGGGTTGATCAATATCAGGTCCTTGTGTTCCGATAGTGTCCGAAAATAAATCATCCTACAAAAGTATACAGTAAAAATTAGTTTATGGATAGACTCTAAGATATCAAGTGACTTACATCAATTGTTGGATTCAATCCATCTCGGACTAAATCAGCTCCGTCAAAACCGATTTCACCAAAACCGTCATCATGCATGTTCATTGGCAATGAGCCATAATCCTCTCTCATTGTAATCTCATCAGCTCTTGATTGATTTATAGAAAATTGAGCTTCAATGTCCACATCACTGTAATAAAGTTAAGCATGTATAATATGCAAGCATAAAGATTTAGACATAACTTAAAGATTTGAATTTGAATTTTCAAACATTTCGGGCGGTAAAATTTAAATTCAGGAAAAACGTTATTTAATCATAATTTGTTTTGTTGTTTTTAAGTCATTTTGCTATTAAATAATATAGTACTTAGTTTATTTCATAGCCTTTTTGGGTCAGTAAACATTTTGATATTCAAAAAATTAGCATTAAGCTGCTTAATTCACTAGACTTTGGGATTTCTCAAAATAATTTTTTCCTTCGTCATGTTTGTTTACATTTTGACGAAAAATATTTGAAAAAGAAAACGCGAAATTTTATCAAAACAAGATGAAATATTGAATCCATAAACAGTTTAAAACAAAGAATGTGTATCTATTTTATGTTTTAAATAGTAATCTGTAAGAAAACACAAGGATTTTGACTGAAAATTATCAAAATTTTCTGATTGGCTAAAATTCATAAGGGGCCGTTCACTTATTACGTTACGCAAAAAAAACTACTTTTTTCACCCCCCCCCCCCCTCCCCCTCTTGTTACAATATGTTACAACTCACAACTCCCCCCCCCCCCTGAACGTTCATAATTTATTTTATCATTAAAAAGATGGAAAATTTAAAGAAATAATTTTGGTGTGAATTTTCGTGAACTTTTTTTAAAAGATTCTTGACACCCCCCCCCCCCCCCCCCCCCCCAATTGTTCTAAAAATAAGATCCGTTTGCCGACCACAGGCATGTATAATATGCAAGCATAAAGATTTCATTATACATACTTAAGCTCTGGAAGTGCCGTATCAAAATCATGGAAAACTTCTGGCAATGTGATTGCATTAACAGCTGCTTCACGATGTTCTTCTGGTAAATCGACCATTCCTGGACGAAAAGCCATCTAAAACAATTATTAAACCAGTTATTTATGCTCATTATAAGGAACAGCAATGTCATTAATGTCACCTTAATCTTAACAAATGCTTCATTGCAGTCAGCAAGTAAATATTTCGCTTTTCTAGAATGAATTCGTGCAACACCAAGAAGTAAATGCCCTGATGTTCTTAGAGCTAATTTCACTTTAGGCTGTAAAATGCCGTCAACGGATTGTTCAATATTCGTCTCAAATACATGAGCTTTCGTCAATTTCTTATCCCAATGTGCTGCAAGCCATATCCGACTCAACGGACCTTTCTTAGCTAATACAATATGAGCATAAAACATCTTTATGCAGTCAAGTCCAATTTAAAATCTGTAAAAAGAAAGGTTTTTAAGATATTTGTTTGTGCAGCTATAAAAACATCCAGTTGTAAAACTCTAGAATCAAATTTTCTATTAAATCATGACCAGATCGAGTTAAAGGAAGTAAAAAAGGATTAATGAGTATAAAAAAATCAAAGATATCATGATTACAGCATAATTAATGATTTATGGGAGTGGAAAACAAATAAATAGTTCAATAAGCGCTCAAAAAATAAACATTGACATAAAAACGGTTAAAATGTCAAACGTATAGGTTTTAATTACTTTATCCAATAAATACTCCAGTTATTTAACACATCAAATCTCATCAAAGGTTTATAAAACGATTTTACAAGACATAATTCACAATTTTTTTGAATTATTTTTCTTTTCAATTTATTATTTTAGACGCTAACTGAATTTATAGCACTAGAATGCTAACTGCTAAGATGTTTGCGAAGGAAGTAAGTGCTTATAGATATATTCACACCATACTACACGATGTAAGTGTATAGAAGTGCCTTGGACGCAGCAAAGCATAAATTTGGTCTAAATCTTTAGTGCTGGATGTTTAATGTCAAGAATCATCGAAAGGAATTGGATTGAAAAGATCAGTTTTCCAAGAAAAAGGTAAGTGATTTAAAATTATTAAGTTCCGAAGCATATCAAGCTGTGTGAATATAAAGTTGTATGCTAAACTCCCAACAGAAGTGCTAAATCATCAATTCTTGACTTTTTTTTATGACCAATATCTTAATTCATATATATTCATACCGATTCGTAGCATAAATCTGTAATTTTTGATGCTTTATGCTGCATTGTAATCAACATAAATCATAAAATAACGACATAATTTAAAAATGACGGCAACATTCAAACACGTAAAAATTTTACGTACGTAAACTTCAAACAAAAAAACCGTTAAAATATTGTTAAGCTTAAAAATTTTGATTTTTATATTTGTGATTTTTCTTTTATAAAGCTACAGACTATTCTAATTCCTTTTCATGCTTTATAATACTTTGATATTGTTGAAGAACCCTTTGTTGATCAGCAAGCATTTCAATTTGAGACATTTGTGGCTTCTCTTCTTGTGCTTCTTCCATGCTTCTTAATGTTTCGACATCATAATGAATTCTGTAATGTTCTCGTAGCTGTGCCTGCAATCTGAATGCTGCCGAGCATAAGTTGCATTTATATCTAAAAGTAATAATAGATAGTGATGATACAATGTAATTGACGTTTTATTGTTAATGAATAATTCAATATTTGAATAGAAATGAGAGCCTCAATTCAAGCATGACTCATGTCCAATAACAGCAATCAATCTCCTGTTTTTTAAATTTAATCTAAGGATTAATATTATTCTAATAAGATTCAATGGAGGACTTACGTATTTTCTCCTACATGTACGCGTACATGCTTTAACAAATCATTCGATTGAGCATAAGAACGGTCGCAGTACTGGCACTTGTAAGGTCTCTCGCCTATAATAATGAACATTAAGTATTTATGCATAATTTTATCGTACATTTTTTCGACTTTATTACCTGTATGGGTTCGCATGTGACGTTTTACATGATCAGATGAATTAAATCGCATGCCACAAACCTTTAAAAATTTAAAATGTCATTAAAAAAATGAATGCTAAGCAAGTCAATTGTTGGAAATTACCTCACAAACGTAGGGCCGTTCGCCTAGTAAAATTAACAATTTAGCATTAAATTTCTATTCAAATGAAAAATGAAAGTAATCACTTACCGGTATGAATTCTATGATGCTTTGTTAGTGACGATGATTTAGTAAATGACGATCCACATGTAGCACAAATAAATGGCTTCAATCCACTGTGAGTGCTCATGTGTGATGTTAATCCAGACTTAAAGACAAATCGACTTGGACATAGATTGCAGGAATAAGGTTTGATTCCCGTATGACGAATCAAATGTCTTTTTAGATTTTCATTAGTACTTAATGACTTTCCACATTCTGGACATAGGTACGGTCTACAAATTATTAAGTTAGACTTGCAACAACGACATTAAAGGATCAGAGCACTTACTTTTCCTCAGAATGAGTCCTCAAATGAACATTCAGTTTATGTAGCTTAAGAAAACTCTTTTGACAGATTGGACATTCGTGTGGCTTCATTCCTACAATTCAAAACCTCCATTATTCATTAAATTCTTAAAATAATAAAAGTAAAGTAATACCTTTGTGTCGCAAAAAGTGATCAATGAGTTCATCTCCAACTGCAAATAATTTATTGCATATAGCACACTGAAAAATATCGCCAAAGAGTCAATAAATCGTTGAGAATCCACTGACAAAAAATTTATAGCTTACCTGATGTGTAGCATTTTCAACATGATTTTTCGAGTGCCTTAATATATCGGAAAATGATGGAAATATGTCGTGACATAGCTTACATTTATATTCATTATTATCATCTGATTTGCTTTTATGGACCTTTAAATGTGTCGCAAGATTATCAGCTGTTTTAAAAGTTCGTCCACAAACTACACAAATGAATTCTTGATGTTCTTCCCTATTTAATTTGGACTTTTCGACCAAGTCTGAATGGATCACATCGTGTCTCATTAGTGCTACATTTGATGGGAATCTTTTGTTACATTTTAGGCATTCATGTGGCTTCTTGTTAGGATCATGAGCCTTTTTATGTCTAGCAAGTAAAGATGCTTTCTTAAAAACTTTTGTACATTCTGTGCATGCATATTCTTGTTTCTCGCCTAATTCCTCTTCATCACTTTCATCTATCACTTCCTTTGACTGACACTTTCTCATATGACTCTCTAGTTTGATGCTTGTCTTAAAGGTCCGCGAGCAGTTAGAGCACTCAAATATTTCTTCTGTACTATTATCACTATCCGACTCATTATCTATGGAATTCTCGTTCTCTTCAGTTGCTTCATATTCCAATTCGTCAGTTTCTATTGGTTTTATGTCATCAATTAATGTATCTGAAATAATTTCGTTTGATTGAACCTGATAATGTTCTAGCTTAATTTCTCCTGGATCTTCGTGGTTCTCACTGCTGCATGTTCCAATTAGAATTCGTAAACTTCGATCACTTTCAATGCACATTTGTTGAAATTTGTAAGCATTAATAGCAGCTATCTTACATGCCTGACAAATTGAATTGGATAAGCCGTCATTTTTAATTTCAATCTTTCCAACATCCAGAAGAATTTTTGACATTAATTCATTATCATAGAACGTCTCAAATATTGATTCTAAGTCTGTTGTAGGTAGCACACAACATCTGCATACCGTTTTAAGATCAATAGTTTGAATTTCCATTGATTTATATGCAAAAAGCGTATTTTGTTTGACTTTTAATGAAAACAATCAACTCTCCCCTTGTTTTTCTCTCCAATAACTCTACAAAGCAGTTGTGAATATACTGTGCATCAATGGCTATAGCGACGGACTTGTGGAAATAGTAAAATTAAACCTTCTTTTATAATGTTTTTGTCTTTTCAACGGCTTTTAAAAATTTAAATATTTTTCAAAAAGTTTTCAAAAAAACCAGTAGAAATTTTAAATGTTTTTAAAAAATACGTTTATTGAAATCCTCAGAAACTTATTGCTAATTTCCTTGTTAGTAGCTAATTGAGAAAAGCTCAAAATGGTAAAAGTAATCAAAGCATGATAGGAAAACAGTTTTAAATCCTAAAATTAATCATTCTTGTTCATCATTATCTTCGTTATTGGGGTCAAAGGCATGTAACTTCTTCCTCCATGACTTGATTAAGCCTTCCCATGCTCTTCTGCTATATTTCAATTGTTTTGGAGGCGTCTTAGGATGATCACGTGTACGTTTATATCTAGAGAAATAACGACAATTAATAAAAGTATTAATTAAGTGCTGGACATGAACTTACTTTGGCACTTCCTTCATGTAATTGTCATAGCCAATAGTATTCTTTCCATAATCAATTTGTTTTTGTCGTCTTTCAAGTGTCGCTTGATCAGTCTCGAGTTCTTGCTTGATATAATTTGTGGACGAGCAGTTACTGGAACTTTCAGAACTTCGTTCGCTGCAGAATCTTTTCCTTAATGGCTTCTTATTGTTCTCATCATCATCGCTGTCTTCTGGTTCTCCATTCTTATCATTGCTTTCCTTAAACTTCTTCTCTGGCTGCTTCTCAACGACTTCATTTTCTAAACGTCTCTTGAATGGTGACTTGATCTTATTGTCACTAGCCAATTTGTCAAATTTCTTTTGGTTTGCAGCATCAAATATTTCAATTTCTATAAATCGTGCGTCTTCATCGTGTGCTTCAAATGAGCTAGTTTTTACTTTAGTTGGCTGTAATTATAATACAGTAATATATAGTATACAGTTATATGAAGGAATAAGAAGCTACTTACAGTTTTGTTTAGACTTTTATGTGCATCACTCGAGTTGCTTGAATCAAGCAAATCTAGCCAACTTTTATTGTTGCTCTTTGGACAAACGGAAGACTGATTAGACATCTTATTACTTGAAAATATTTTTAAATTATGATTCTTACCATTTTTATTAATATAATTAAATTTCTATATAGAAGTAAAGGAAGAATGCAGGCAGGCTGTAAACAAGTCGACAAGTTTTAAAAGCGGGAACTAATTGTCGAAGTTTATGAATTAAAAGTTTCAAAATTGTTTTTTCTGTTAAAAAAAGGAACTAGATTTCAAAAAACTTTATTACTTAATTTTTACTCTCTTATCTTGAGATATAAATTTCCATTTGTTTCACACGAGTTCTGTTATCAAAAAATAATTTCCCGAGACCTTTAAATCACCCCAATCAATATTTTATTTAATTTATTCTGGGCATGGAGTTTTGCGGATATAACTTTTTCCACTTGGAACTTGAACATGTTCAACGCCTTTTGGGTATAATTTTGGAATGTCATCATTTGAGACTGTTGGAACGACCATGCAGTAAGTTCCTTTAGTCCAATCGACTGGTGTAGCAACCTTATTTCTGTCAGTCAATTGCATTGAGTCAACCAATCTAATGATTTCATCAAAATTACGTCCTGAAGATGCTGGATAAAGAAGTGAGGCACGCAATTTCTTATTTCCATCAATGATAAAAACAGCACGGCATGTTAATGGTAATCCTTTAGATCCAATTTCATCTTTGTCGAGCATGTTCAATTTGACAGCCAATTCTCGTGACTCATCATCAATGATTGGGAATGGGAAGTCACCTTCTAAATTGTTGTATGCTTGAATATCTTTGATCCAACCAAGATGTGATTCCGTTGAATCGCATGATAATGCAATAAGTTTGACATTTCGCTTTTCAAATTCACTAGATAATTGAGCAGCACGGCCAAGTTCAGTTGTGCAGACCTAGATTAGATATGAAAATTTCAGCGATAAAATGTATTTCACAATTTCTATACAAAATTAACAGCAACAAGTATGTTGATACATGAAATCTATTGCCGTACTTGAATGTTTCATTGATCGTCATTTGTTTTAAAAAATGTTATTTAAGCTTACCGGTGTATAATCGGCTGGATGTGAGAACAAGATGGTCCATTTATCGCCTCCAAATTCGTAGAAGTCAATGTCACCAATTGTTGTTCCAGCCTGGAAATTTGGGAACTGATCACCAAGATTCATTGTAATTTCTTTTAAGTAACTGTTTTGCTAGCGGAAAGGTTAAAAGCCGGGAATTGAATGTGAAGAAAATTATGATGTGCTGCTCTTTATAGGCACAGAATGTTTACTATTTTACAGAGCACGCACACTATCAAAGAATGAATTGGAACAAAATGAACTGAGTGGAAGCGGATGAAAATTGACTAAGTTCATGATGTGCCTGAATACTTTCTTTTGAATATATTCTAATGGTTTATGAGGCATAGAATCATAATTAATTAGCAATTTTGATTGAGGGGCACATTACTATATCAGTGAGCATAAAATTTGAATCTAAAATTACCGTTATAGCAAAAAATTTGAAAATATCTTTGAACTTGATAAATATCCATTCACAGTACACAGAAACACACTAAATACGGCATTTGATTTGTGGTTTTCCGGCTAATATGTGTGAAAAATGTTATTAGCTAATTTACGTGATTAAATGCCCGAAAATCGACTCTCTTATCAACTAATCTCGTACATAATCTTGGTCAAATATTAAATATCTGGAAATAATAGAATTAATATACACAAGACTGCCTTTTTAATTATTTTTGATTTATTATAATTATCCATTCATATCTTAATTTTTATATTTAATTAATATGACAATTTCAAAATGTCTAGAAAAATGTAAAAAATAAAATTTACAATTAATTCAGAAAATTACAAAATTCGATTCTTATTTTTTGAAGCATCCAAAAGATCTAGAACAAAAGAGTTGTAAAATTCGCAACATAAAATTGTTCTCATTATTGCATTGCATTAAAAAAATAATTTCACATTTTTTTCTTTACTTGATCTAAATATTAAAGTCATGAAATGGTGAGGATGAATTAGTTTTAGTCTGTTTGTCTAGTTAAATCCGTTGGACTTTATATCATTGTAGTTATTCCAAATTTTTAAAATCTATTTAAACGATTTTATTATGTCATTTTACGGGAAAGATTTTTCATTTTATTAATTGTACTTAATTTATGTATTTTCCAAAAAAAAAAAGACTAGGGCATTTTTACTCGCATCTACACATTAGGCTGGATCTATGATTTAAAAATGATAAATCCATTCAATTCAGGGCTTATTACAGATTCCAGGCCTAAAATGCTCTCTTTATATTAATCTCAATATTTTATTAATTAATTAATTATTAACGTTGATATTCTTTAATAAATTGTTTCTTTAATTAAGTTTTTTCAAAAAGCTGTTAATTTAAATCATCTTCATTATCTTTTCTTTACGACTATGTATTTTTATTATTTTATCTCTTATCAATTTGAACATCGATTGTTTTTTTTTTGTGTAAGAACTGTGAATAATTGGTTTTGTTTTAAATAATTACTTGATTCCTTCTCAATTTTATTCTCATTGATAATGCACGATGATTAATTTGGCGATTAAAGCTACTTAATTTTGAATTTGTGGGGTTTTGCTTGCTGTTGGTTGGTTTTTGACATCATTTGTGGTGTTTTCATCTTGATAATTTTGAAAACATTTGTAAGGTTTTTAATTCAACTTTAATTTTTTGCTGTTGTAAGGTTCAGGTTTTTTTACTGTTGCACAACTCTAAAATTACAATTCAACAGTTTTCAAACCATCTGATCTCTAAAACACTTCAAAAATCTCAATTAAGCAGCTCCAAACCACCAGAATAATCTCCTCAATAATAAATAAACTTGGTCATATTAAATTATATGTGCATTCATTATAAAACTAATAGCTGCATAAAATTCGTTTCAACAAAGGCAAAAAGTAACTTTTGAGCTTAAAAATGATTACTTCACATTCTCAAATCATAATCCAGTGACACAATTACATTAGATGAAAGCTGATAAGCTACACTGGAAAAATATTTGCGTAACGAGGTGACACTAGCAATTTTACATGCTGTATATATCTGTTTTGGATCTTTTTTTATCGTCCTCACATCATATTTACAAAAATATTTTGAGATATAAATTTTAATAATGACGCTTAATTCTCATGAGAAAATTTACTTTGTGGATATTGAAAAAGGTAACTCGTAATCAGCCTAATTAATCGATGATCTACAAAAGAACTAAAGAAAGAGACTTTTTTTTTGGCAATGTTAGATTAAAATTCTTCATTCTTTTCCATCTACAATTATTTCGAAATTAAATGTCCATGATCCTCCATAATTGGCACAAAAAACTTTAAATTTTTGTACATTATGCATGATTTTATACTTATTATCCTTAACTTCTATTATGAATAAATATCATTTTCACTTAAATATCAATTTTTTTTCACTTAGAAAATTGAAAATTATAAAGTTACAGAGTACACAAAAGAAATGAACAAATGCTTTGGGATTATTACAATTTTTGATGCATCTACCAATTAGTTAATTTTTTCTTTAATCAATCAATTTCTCATTTTCATGTATATCAAAAAATGGTTCTCAAGTTAGCATCTTAAATCGTTTGACTATGTTCCTTAATACATTATCAAAAATTGTATAAATATTTTTTTCATTTTTATCGCGAAAACAATTTTCTTCTTTTTTTGCATTCATAAATTAAACATTATGGCTTTTTTTAAGTTTGTGTTTGTATTGTAAAGATAGAGTTACAGTATCAAAAAAATTAATAAAAAAAATGCTTGCAATATCAAACATTTGAAGAGATGAAAATGAACACAATTTGAGAGCTTCTTTATTAGATTTTGGAGATTTATTTGTAGTTTTATTGAGTTTATTGCTGATAAGGGCTGATAAGATTTTTTCATTTTAAAATTGACTTTTTTAAAATGATTTTTGAGAATTTGTTTTGTTTTAGGTAAAGCTTTACAAATTCCAAATTTACTGCTGAACTGATTTTGTTTTGAATGCTCGGAAACTGCACAATTTTTCCAAAATAAACTTTTGAACGGTTTTTGATAATTTAAATGGTTTTAATTTTTGAAGCCCAATAATTTTCTATGTTTGAAAACCTTATAATTGTCTCAAAAAACTGTTGAAAGGTTTTAAAAAGATCTATAAATCAAAATTTAAATTTTTAAAGAACCGTTCTAATAAATTCTTCGAGAATTTCCTGCCATATCATAAATTTCTATTTAGTGCGCAAAAATATCAATCAAAATCATGTTATGGCTAATTAATTGTTTACAAAACAATTTTGCACTTTACGAACGTAATTTGATAAGAAATTAATATTCAATTCATAAAGCTACTCGACTAGCTCAAAAACGTGACGGCTTTGAAATATCAACAAATCAACTCAATAAACTTATTTCTCCTTCGGATTTGCATATCAGCTGCATGCAAATATAATATCATTGGTAAAGTTGCAAAAAACTGCACGAACCAAAAAACCCAAATTATTAACCAACTGATTCAAAATGCATCATTTTCCGTCTTTTTCTTCATGAAATTTTACATTAATTAATTTTTTTTCGTCAATATTCTTTTTTTGTCAGCAGAGCAGAGCAGAGATAAAGATTGTCCCTCTTTGTCTCTCGTCTTCATACTTCATATTTGTTTGTATCATTTGTTTTGTTTTTTGTTCGTCCCTTAAACTTAAGAAAAAATCACACCACATCAACCCCACGTCCTTACTAGAAAATAAATTAATAACGAATTTCATCATACAGATAATTCGGTTTCTTTAGTCTGCTCTCGGCTTGATTTTAATCTTTGTAGTCATCATCTTTGTTACGTTTGACTGCACAGCATAAGCACAGGACTAGGAGAATTCCGAAGAGTTGAACAGCAATTACTATTAAACCGCCAAGAAGGATGTATTGGATATTCCTTTTAACTTCCTGAACGACTCGTTCCATGCAGCCCTAGAATAATGTGTAAAAAAGGTACGAAAAGGTATGATTAATGGGAAATTTTTTCATGAGTAATCGAACTTACAGTTTTATTGATAATTGGATTAACACTTGTTGTTATGGCACCTTTTCTCGTTGTTTCACATAATGATCGTTCAGTTCCGTTCTTACAACCTTCAAATAAACCATTAATCAATGAGAGTCAACATAATTTTCAGTTTTTATAGACTCGCTGGATCTTTTTCCATCCCTATACTAAAGTGTGTCAATTTTTGAGCATTTAGAAGCACAAAAACAAGAATCCAGCCAGCTTGTACTAACATTTAATACTTACATGATGGTGGAACAGAGTATGACAATTTATTTGTAACAGACAAGTCCAATAATCCACCCTTGGCGTTATTATATTTGGTATTAGCCCAATCAGCAGGTCCATCAACACCGCAGCATTGTAAATGAATTTGAATGTGATCAACCATCTCTGTCCTTGCGTGAACTTCCCTATATTCATTAGCAATTGTATGTTTAAAGTTGGACTTTACGAATGCTTCAAGTTTATCACTGTTTTGGTATGCCCAGAACCCAGCAGCTATTTCTGCCGTAAGAACAATTAGCATGCAACAGAAGAACTGCAAGAGACATAAAAATAAATATCAATTATGTTGATACTAAAAGTAGAGTAGAGCTCACCGAGACGAGCATGCAAGACGATTCTTTAAGGGCACCGCAGCTGTGAAAATAAATGGAAATTAATGGATGTGATTAAAAGGCGTAAATATAGAAAATAAAAACTTACCATCCACAGAATGCGAGTAACACCATGAGAATACCAATAGCCAGGAGTATAAATAGAGCATATTGATAATTCTGATGCTCTTGAGCCAATGAGATCATGAATGCTGGATCTACAAGCATCCATACTGCTAATGCAACAATACCAATGCCGGCGATCTAGAAATAGACAACATAAAGACATAAAATAATCATTTATCACGTTTTGATATTTCCTTCAGTCATATAAAAGAAGCATAAAAGTTTTATTAAGGCATGGTGGTCGTTGTCGTAAACGAAAATTAGAATGTCATCATATTCAGTACCTTGAACATGAAATAAGCAATGGACAATCGATAAATAAATAATCAAGTAATTTGATTGATGCATACGACCCTTCTTGTTTATACCAAATATACAAAAGAACCGGGAAGGAAGCGACAGTTGCACTCGTTTGTTTACTTTTCTGACAATTATTTCATGTTTTTAGGTACGCAATCGTTCATTAATGATAGAACTATCAATTTATAGCATTTATTTACCCCCCCCCCCCCCCTGCCCCCGCCTCTGAATAAGATGTCTCACGACCCTAGGCCAAAAAAAAGTTTAATTCAGAATGTTTTCGTTTCCTTTAATGTCACAGATGGGCGCCTCTGAATAACATTTTGCACTTTAAATGATTAAAATGACTTATGCATTACATCTATGTGTGTCATTATGCAAAGCTTTATAGTAATGACTGTGTGTGGAGTCTTTGTTTTTCTCATTAAAATTCACAAATGATGACAGCTCGACAGTATGAAAAAATACGGTTTAAAGACACTCCATTGTAAATAAAGCATGCACAGCTCCATAATGAGAATAAAGAGAGGAACGTAAATCGTGTTATGAATGAAAATTATGTGATAATTAAATGAAATGCTTGAAATTCTACTTAACTCAAATGGGGGTTATTGACATATGACGTCTGTAATTGAAGAGGGGGGGTTAAAACAATTTAAAAACAAAAGAACATTTTTCGTCATAGGAGGAGGGGGGGTTAAAACACAATCTTTTATCGACGTCATAAGTGAACGAACCCCAAAACAATTTATTTTTGAAAGATGCGACTCAAATGTATGTGATAACATTTATGTTTCTCACTCATATAACAAATTTTTGTTGTAAATTTGTTTAGAATAATCATTACGATGGATGTGATGTGAGCAGACATTTGTTGTTTATTTAGTATAGTTTATTTAACATTTTATGTCTAGTAAGGTTAGGTTTTTCTTCTTTCTATTTATTAATTTATTTTGACTGCTCAGATTGCTTCGTCACGTTTTATATATGTTCTTCTTCTTCTATAGTCAGTGCGTTTCTGGTTTCAACGATATTTTGTTGACTAATCAGTTTCTGATTATGGAAGTGCCTTTTGTTTATGATTTTTAATGTGCTACCAATATCCTCATTTATTATTCTTTTCATTTTAAATTGAATTATTTATCCATTGAGCAGCATTTGGATTGATTTTAAGGCGGTTTATTCTTAAAAATAATTATTTATAAAATTTGAATAATTAACGGCTTTTTGAAATTGAAATAATTTTAAATTAAAAAAACGTTGAATTTCGTCTTCAAAAATATTCAAATTTAAGGAAGTACCGGAAATTATTCACAAAAAACTTAATTAATTGCTAGTCATAAGTGGATCAAACTCAAAAATCAATTGATCAATGTAGCAGACGGAAGTATACGACCCCAAATATTAGTCAACAACACATTATTAACAGCACAAATCAAGGAAATTATGAAGCATGTATTTTAGAAAAGCCTATTAATTAACATAAATTATGAGTTGCTTGTCCATTGAACTATATGTAAATTGAAGAACATATGCTTAAGTCCTTATTCCCTCACCTATAAACTTGTTTTAGTAATTTAGATAATGTTCAATAGAAGTAAAATACAATTATGTTTACGCAAACTGTACGGTTAATGACTTATTTCGTTAATGACTCTCAATGAGTACTGAAAATTGTGTAAAAGACCTAATAAACTTGGCGAAATAAACAATAATTTCGAGCACTGTTTGACATATTTTCATGGCACGATATGCGGAAGAAAGGCACCAAATTTTCAGCAAACATTTCCCCTTTATTATCGATTTAATGAACAATCAATATGATATAAAAATTATTGACCAGGTGCTGTCGTTTCCTGCATTCATTAAATTTTCCTTTTTTTTCTACCATTTTATTTTTTTTGCAAACAAATCAAGCGTGCAGTCAGTCAATAAGCGATTGCTATCAATTCTAAGCAATAGTCCTACGACTTTACGTATGTTTATTTATCAACACGCAAAGTCACTTTTCTTATGGTCGTAATGTGATTGAGGTAAGAATTATTATGTGCTCGGGCAGTATCTGTTTATGGCTTCTAAACCGACATCTATTTACGAAATTTTATTTATTTTGTTTCGCATTTGCCATAAATTTTTCTTCTACTCTTTATTCTCTTGCTCACCCACTGAATTTTAGTGGGATGTCATCGATGATATAAAAGAAGATGATGCGAAATCTATCGACTCTAGAGCTTCTTATTTGATAGACATTGGATATCTCATTAGGGACAAAATAAGAATTGAATTGATGGCAAATCAGCAAATTTATAAACAGTAATCAACAAGGGATTAGCATCGAAATTCGTTCTAGATCATTGGATATAAAAAAAGTAAGGTTAAGAAGCATTTAAAAAATTATTTGGCGCCATAAACTTGACAACATTTTCTAATTCTATTTTGAGAATTGAAATTGTAAACATCTGCAAAATGACACAAGTCGTGTATGACTGCAAAAGAATCAATTTAGACACAGATGACACAATAAAAAAATGATCATCAATAAAGAATCAAGACAGAATGATGCAATGCGATAAAGTCATGACAGTCAGGTATAAATAATGCATCAAAAATAATATTCACAATAAAACAGAAATTAGGTCAGTTGGCAAAATTTTCAATAAGTAAAAAACGGGATCTATCCGCATAAGCTAATGACGTCAACACCATTATACATGATGATTGCATGAGCGTAGATGCAGGCTTTCAAAATTGATTTTCTACCCATCTACAGTTATCATAAAAGGGCGAGTACAGTTCGTATTATGCAAAATATAGGTTATATAAATGGGCCTCGACGTTTTTTTAAGGATTATTGCTTAACGGAAAAAAATAATTTGAATTTTTCACTAACACTATCATACAAAACATCAAAAATTATATTCTCAAAATTCTTAACTATTCAATGGGATTAATCCAAATGTTATGATTTGAATACGAAAAGTAGATGATACATTTGATGTTCTGACTATTTTAGGAGCTTTAACATCATTATTGAGTGATATTTTCGTGACTTTTCAAATTTCATTTTCGATTTTGTTTGTAAACAAACAAATTACAACCGAAAAAATCCAAAAAAAGTTAAAACCGTTAAAAAAATTTAACTTAATTTTGTCCATTTAGGTATGTTAACATAGAAATTTTAAATATTTTATGATCCCAAAAAGAACAGAATTGAATTTCGTACCTAAAAAAATACATTTTGAAATATATCAATAAACAATAATGAAGATGTAGCGAAATTTCCAAAAATTGTACGTGAGTGACGCTTAGTTAAAGTGATTTTTTTAAGCAACTATAAAGTTTCAAGAAGTGAATTGTACAACAGTAGATGGGGATTTTAATTCTCTTTTCAAAAAAGTAACTCTTAAATTTTTCACTTTTAAGGATTAGGAGATAATCAAGAATAACAAAGCGTCACTTACGTATAATTTTTTTGTGACGAGGCACAAATAAATGTCATGGACCATTGTTTGTTCGCAGTAATCATGCGAGTGGGTGGATAAGAAAGAAAGAAAAACGGTCATAACGACAATTCTATGGTAATTTAACGAGATCCAGTCAAGTTGAGAAGATGAGAAAATAGAAGATAAAACATGATTTGAATAATTTGTGTGGTACAAAATGGTTGAGTAGTAACATAAACAAACATACATGATAGCGGTATCAACGGAAATTTGTAAGTATCGATCAAATGTATTATGCCTTGCACCATAAAAATCGACACCGAAACAAGAAAAAAAATATATTAAAATGAGTAAACAAATTAATTGTCCGTTTTATTTGTTCTCTTTGAAGTGATTCCACTGCCTCCAATCGAGTGGAGCTTGAGTGTGTACTTATAAATTATTCATTGTTCGAGATGAAAATTCTCATTTGACCTCAATTTGTGGATATATGCTGTATGAAAATTCTTATTTTGTTCAGCTAGAATCTCCAGAACGCACTCTTTAATGTGTTGAAACATTTTCATAATTTATTAGTTCCATAACATAGAGATTACACTATATTCTCACATTTTCTTTTACGACTCTCGACTCTATTTTTAAAAAAAAAAAAAATCTTCCAAAAGAAGGGAATGTTGCAGCTTCTCTGTTTTTTCATGACGTTACAAACAACTGATTACTTTATATGTAGTCAAAAGGAATAAGATGAAGAAAATGAAGATATTGAAAGACTTTCCCGCACTTGGAAATTTGTGACGCATTTTCTTTGCGGTTCTGAGCATCATTTATCATCGAAATGTAATTTTTAAGTTCATTCAACTATGATGTCTTACAACTAGAATGGTGTCTAAAGTGGAATGATACTTTACACTCAAAAAACTTTAAAGAAAAGATTAAAAACGTCAAATTCGGTTCCACTTTGCAACTAGATGACCCCTGAGTGGAATCAACTAAGGATATCCACTCCCAAGTATGATAAGAAGCATGAACAGGGTGTGAAACTAAGCAAGAAGTAGTATAAATACAGTTTTAATTAAAACAATAGAAATTCCTCAAGCTCATTAATTTTATGGTCCAAAATATAATATTTTACAGCCAAATCAAACTTTATCATATTTTACAGCAGCAAAGCTCTTTAAAAATCCAAAAAAGCTGTGAATTTTAAATTAAATTTCGTCATAAAATCACAGAATTAAATAAAATATTTTATGAATCATTTACATTATCTGTAATGGCTTATTGTATCCAAGCAGTTCTGTTTAAATTTCAATACATTAAAGAATTTAATTTAATTTTTTTTTTTTGATAAAGAATAAGCTCACAAGCAGCTGAAAATCAATACACACGAGAATGACA